ATTTTCTCTCATCTGATTTAGTGACAGGTTGTGTTGTAGTTTATATGTTTACATGTCCATTTATTCTATCAGACTGTGAGTAATGAGAGGCTAAGATCACTCATTTACTCATTCAACCAGTATGTATTCATCTCTATATCTTTCACATCTAGTGTATTCCTTGACATTAAGTAGGTGCTCAGTATATGTTTGTTTTACTGAATTACATTGAAACTTACTATGTTACAGATGAGAAAAAATGGGCCTATAGATGAAAAATGACCTGCCAAAACTGCAAAGGCTAAGAAGCTAAAATTTACATTTCCTTACTCTTAGTCAAGTTTTCTTTCCACAGATCAACTTTGTACCTACCTCCTACCCCTCTATGCTCTCCCACATTATTTTTTTTGTCTCTAATTTTTCTATACCATTCTCTCATTATTGGTCATATTGCTCCTATATTTGTTTTCCAGCTTCAATGGGGAAAAATAATTATCACCATCCCTATAGGCTTTTTGGTTAAGAATCTGTATTTCCTTGGCATTGTTTACTTCTGGCATCATCACTGCTGAATCAGGATGACCATAGGTCAGCTTTTCGTCTGGCATTTATAAAGAGTTCCTCTTGATTTCAGTAGGGTATGGATAAAACTGGCCTTATGTAGGAACTTACAAGCTCTCAAATGGATTTAGCTGCAGTCTGGGAAAAACAGAATGAGGAAAGAGTTTCAGAATTTGTGTAGAATACGTGTTTTATGTAGACAAACTAAGAGAGTATGGGTTATAATTATAAGTGAGAGAAATTGATGTTTTATTGGATTTATGGGTGAAGATTCTGATAATGATTATTTTAGACACTGTATTGAACCATCATACAAAATTGTTTCTTTATGTATAATCTATTTCTACTTGCTACAATTTAGTAAAACCTAAGTAAGAAACCTAAATAAGCTCAGTACATTCTAGGAATATGAAGAAAATATGTGGGCCATGCCTTCTAGAGAAAATTTCTGCTCCTAATTTGTTCAGACTATGAGTATAGGGGACCCTCTTAGAATGGTTTATAAAACATATTGTTTTCACATCTTTGTATCTTCATTAGTTCTGTTATATCTGCTTGTAATTGTTTTCATTTGTCCTTTTATTTATCAAATATTTTCTGTGCATCTACTCTGTGCCAGGCATTATGATAAATTTGGGAGATTCAGTGATGTTTCTTTTTGCACTTCATTCTGTCATCCCCTCTCTTACCTCTTGCTTTTTGCACATGGTATTCCCTCTGGCTCTAATGTCCTTCCCATCCTTCAATTTTATATTTAAATATCACTTTTTCCAGGAAGCATTCAATAACACCCTCAACATTGGATTAGGTGTATTTCCTCTCTGCTCCCTTACATAACACTTACCCTTTATTATACTTGTCTGTTTGCTACCTTTCCTACTAAATTATGAACCCCTTGAGACCAGGGATTCATTGACTAATTATATATTAATTAATAGCATATATAACCTAGTATCTATATTAATAATTAATAAGAATTAACTTATTCTATATATTAATTTATTACTATATTATTATACTGTGAGGCTATATATAGTAAGGCACCAATGTAAATAACTGAGATTATTCAAACTTCTCATGTCTTAGGATGATACCCATAAAAAATGATAATTAGGTTAATTTGATCATTCATTCAACAGTGCCTTCTATGGGTCACTCACTTGTTCTGATTATTCAACAACTAAATTTCTTACTCTTGTGGAGTTGACACTCAAGTGGGTAAGGAAAGATGTTTGTTCTGTGCCAGATACTGTTCTAAGCATTTCACATGTTTTAACCCATTGTAATTCTCACAACAACCCTATGAAGTATATTTGTAAGTTGTACTGATTTTACAAATAAGAAAACAAGGCCCAAAGAGATTAAGTAACTTGGCCAAGGATATATAGCTGGCAAGTGGCTGATCTGGAATTCAACTCAGGTTGACTCATTTCAGAGCTTACACTCTTAATCACTACACCAGAGAACCCTCTCATCTATAAATCTCTTCAAGGATTTTTGCTCTAACTTTTCCAAATTACTTGATATCCCTGAATATTCCAGGTCATTATGTACTGTTTAGCTATCTGTCCTTTTCTTTATCACCCTTAATTATAATTATCTGTCTCCCACTCTAGACAGTGATCTCTTTGAAGGTAGATATAACACAACATATTTGTCTCCACTGCTGTATCCCCAGGGCCTGGCACACTTGGTCACTCAATTATTGCCTATTAATTGAATAAATAACTGACTCTTGGTAATCAACATAAATATTTTTATTTGTGCTTTAAGCTGTTGTGTTTCTGAAAGATTATTTGCAGTTTCATGATTTTTGAAAAGATATTGGGATAGTACAATTACATAGAGAAATTGGTGTTGAGACATTACAAAATTCACTATGTCATATCTGACAACCTGATTTACAAACTGGTTAGAATCAGTATATTTCCGGAAACATGCTTTCTTAGCTCTTTAGTTAATGGTGTGCTTTTCAGGAAACACATTTAGACATATTCATTGGATTGTCTAAAATCATACAACTAGTTAGTGAGAGTGTTGGCCTAGAAGCAAACACAGGTCCTCCTGTCTCCCAGTCCAATGGCTTTTTTCTCTTTATAGATACCTTGTTGACATTAACTCAAATCCAGCTGAATTTGGACATACTGTCTTAGCACAGATCAACACATCTACATCTAAAAGCCAGTAATTTCAAAAAATAAGTAACCTTGAAGAATACCAAATAAATCACTCTGCCCTCCAAATATCTTCCTTACTACTATGTTTTAGAAATCTCTAAGTTATAGTTTTATGATTAATTAAATACACTCTTCCATACTTACAACAACTGGTTGTCCAAATCATTTTTTTAAAGATTTTATTTATTTATTTGACAGATAGAGATCACAAGCAGGCAGAGAGGCAGGCAGAGAGAGAGGGGGAAGCAGGATCCCGGCTGAGCAGAGAGCCCGATGTGGGGCTCGATCCCAGGACCCGGGGATCATGACCTGAGCCGAAGGCAGAGGCTTTAACCCACTGAGCCACCCAGGCGCCTCCAAATCATTTCTGATATGACAGCTAAGTCACAAAGATTTTGAGAAATAAAAGATTTCTTTAGAACAGAAGGGAGCCTTAGAGTCAGGGAAGTATTCACAGAGGAATTAGGACCCTGATATAGAAAATGAATGAATATATACAATCATGTGAAGGATACATATGGAAAGCTGGTATTTTAGAAGAGTGAAACATTCAACTTTTCTTATGTTAAAAGATATGTTGAGAAGTGATTGAATGTATAGAGTCAGAGAATAACTTGATTGACAAGCAAAGCAATTTAAACTTAATGCTGTAGGAATTAGAAATAAGTTTTTGAACAAAGGAATAAAGTATGAAAATAAGTCACATTTAAGAAAGATATATTTGGCATATATCTGCTTAAATTTAAAACGAGCTTAAAGTAATAAAAGGATTTCAATCATTGGAATCATCTCCTGCCTTTCCTGTGGGCTTCATTAGGGTGAGAACAATTTCTTAATTTTCATATTTACTCTTCATTGAGCACTTACTATATGCCAGACACATGATAAACCTTTCAAATGCAAGACCTCATTCAGTTGGTAGGAAATAGCACAATCCTGTGATGTGGGGACTATTGTTACTTCCATTTTATAGATGAATGGAGGAAACAGGTTCAGAGAGGTAAAGTGACATGCCTAAAGTCAGATAGCTCATAAATTTAGGAGCAAAAATTTGAACCCTGATCTGTTTGACCCAAATCTAGCTAGTACAGTAGTTGGCACATAGCTGATGTGCAATAAATACCCGTTGGAAAAAATGGGTGAATGAATTTATCAGTAAATCTATCCTCTTCTGCTGATGAAACTACAGATTAATGTTTTTCATGATCTTGATAACCTCAAGTCAATATTAAGAGTAAAGAAAATGTTTAAGCCATGAAAGAGGAAAATTTACATAGGCAAATCTCTTGGCTCTAGAAATTCTGATTAGGAAGAGATCTGGATTTGCTTAGAAATTATATGCACACACACGCACACATATGTGTGCGTGTGTGTGTGTCTGTGTGTGTGTGTATACACTATACATACCTACATATCAACAAAAGAGTTTGGATAACCTTTGACACACACATACACATATGAGTATGTAGACCCACACAAGCATGTATATTTTTAATCCCATGCTTTCTTCTGTTTTCTTAATCCTCCTGAGAGGGTGTAAATAACAGAATGTCAGAGCTAGAAGGGACCTTAGCAATTACCAGCAATTATCAGATCTTTTCATGTAAATGTAGAAATTGAGACACTAGAGGGAAAGTAAATTGCAAAGGTCATACAAGGAGTTAGAGTAAGATTAAGGATCTCAGGTTCATGACTCACACAGGTTTGTTTTACTCTGAACTGTCACCATTTACCATCTCAATTTTATAGATGGGGTAAGCAAGGCATCCTAAGAATGTTGATGATCAAGCTCCTGCTACTTGTCCATTGAAGCAGGACTTGAAATCAGATCTCTTTTATTTTAAATGTGAGGCTTGTTTTCAACCAAGTGCTTGTCTCGATGCCCAAAACAAAGACCGGTTCCTACTGAATTAAATAGTGGACTGAGGATAATTTACAGAAAACTTTGTCCTTCACTTTAAGAGAAATTGTCCAAAGCTGCTTTATTTTCAGAAGACTGGCAGCCCTAAGGGGGCTGCATAAAGGCAGGGATTTTGTCTTCCTTACTGAATCCACAATATCCAGCGCAAAAGAAGGCACAACATTTTTGTTGTTGTTGACTATATGGCATACTAAAGGCAGGAAGGGAAAGTAAGGTGGGTAATGGTTTCCCAGCGGATGATGGATGGATAATCATTATTAGGGTTAGTGGGAATGAATGTGGGTAAGAGGTGGGAGAAACCCTTAAACAAAGGAGAAGCTCTGTCTGATAGAAGCTGCAAGCACTCGGCAGAGATATTTAAATGAGGCCTCCTTAAAATCGTTACTTTCCACCCCACCCCCTATTCCCCTTTAAATTTTGTTTCAGTCATTACCCAGGGACCGGATACAGAGATTCCTATGGGGAGTTCTAATGGGTCGATTCAATTTCAGCTGGATGACGCCACTTAGCTAAGCATTAAGAGCTACGGCTCCGGGAAAGCCAACGACACAGAGAGAGGGAGAGAAAGAAATTATAACAAGGAGCAATAAATCCCTTTCCTCCCATCCTCCCCTATAATCCATTCACAAGACCTTCAGAAATCACCTACATTCACAAAACAGCCGGCTAGCTGAGCTGAACACACTGCAGTCTCACTCCCCTACCCCCGTCTCTGCAGATTATATACCAGCACACCCTGAGCTGTATAAATAATCACACACTAGCGGTATCTATTGCTCTGTTGAGATACCCTGTGTCTACAACTGCAGTTTCTGCTGCTTCGGTTCATCCGTCAGATTGGAGGAGACAGAGGCGGAGGCGGAGGCGGAGGCAAAAGAGAAAGAGGGGGAGGAGGTAAAGAAGGAAGAAGGGGGGGAGGGAATGGGAAGGGAAGAGGAGGGGAAGGAAAACGCTGAAGGAGGAGGGGGAAAAGAAAGAGGAGGAGGAGGAGAAGGGGAGGAGAAAGAGGCGGAGGAGGAGGGGGAGGAGAAATAGAAGAAGGAGGAGGAGAAAGAAGAGGAGGAGGAGGAGAAAGAGGAGGAGGAGGAGGAGAAAGAGGAGGAGGAGATGAACAACTTACCCCGCTGAGCTTTCTTTGGGGAATACGTGCATCAAGATTGAGATCTCCATGTAAAATCTATACAAAGTATCTGCCACTACAGGTCTGACTCTCCTCCCCACCCCCCACCCCACCCCCCCCTTTTTTTTTTCCTTCTTCCCCTCTTCTTTTTCTTCTTCTTTTTCTCTTTTTTTTTTTTTTTTTTTTTTTTTTCTTTTTTTTTTTTTTCTTTCCGTTTTCTCTGCTGTGTCAGAAAGACCGACACAGAACTATCTGTTTCTGGCTCCACTGCCAGTGAAGGAGTTTTCATTCAGACTTTCCGAAGAGAGGTGGAGAAACCTGAAGACTCAGGAGAAGAAGAGGTCTTTTGAGCCAAATGGGGCATTAGTTCTTCTGCTTTCCTCAGCATGGATAAACCCTTTCCTCAAGGTAAGCCATAGAGATTAGCTCTTAAAGACCCTAGAATTCTTTCTGTGCAATGCATATATTGCCATTCATTCCAGCCATCCTGTGTGTGTGTGTGTGTGTGTGTGTGTGCGCGCGCGCGCGCGCGTTCGTGTGTGTGCGCGCGCGCGTGCGCGTGTGTGCACGCGTACAAGAGCAAACGCATGGGTAAAATAAAATGAAAACCATTTAAATGACATTTTAATGAATCAGCTTTTGCAAAAAATTTTCCGTATTAGAAATTTATAAATCAAAATGGAACTTCAAAATAACCCTTTTGTAGCCAAATGTCAATTTAATTTTTAGCCTGTTGACCTTTAAATGCATTTTGGTTCGTGCCTAAGCCCCTTATAGCGCAGCCTAACCACCCAAGCTGAGGACGTAGGGAGAGCCCGTGCTGAGGCCAGTCTGGCTGCCCAGCGGGCATCCTGTCAGCGTGGGGCTAGTCTGCTATTGGCTCACAAGTCTGGGCTGTGCATCGTTCAGATTTCATCACATCACCTTGCCCTGGGTAGAAATGGCGCAAGCTGACACGGCATAACCCCCTGCTTACATTGAGTCAGAGCAATGATTTAGAAATCTCTGGATCCATGCCTGGGTGTGTGTGCACATGTCTCCGTGTGGCATACGGAAATTTTGTTGAAAGTGAGAACCTGTGACCATGTCCAGTTAACCAATAGGCATTTGATAGGACCTAGTACAGTGCTTTACACTCCTTCCATTCCTCTAGCCAAGTATAATTAGCATTCACCTCTGCCTGCGGCAAACCAAGTTGGATGAACAGAAAACAGACCTCCAACTCTTAAACAGAAAATCTATTTTGAAATGCAAACTATTGTTGCTTTTTTGGGTACATTAAAACCTCATTGTAACATAATGTGCTATGACATGAATTTGGATATACCAGGTGTTAAATCATGCTCCCAAGTCAGCTGCATATATACATAACCAATAAGGTACTGACTAGCATTTTATCCATAAGGGAGTATTAGTCTTGTTCCCTGTACCTCTAAATAAACATTTACTAAGACTTTATTCTATGCATTTTGGTTTCTTTGTGTTCTGTTTTTAGGTCTCTCTAGCTGTGAAACAATCTAGATAGTGATCTGAGTGACTTGGATTTAGAAGGTTTTTACTCAGGGTAGAGGAGTTGGGTAGTGAGGAATGAAAAAACTTGAAGGAAGGAGACTAATTCTTCATGAAAGACTTTTTGAGACAGAGAAGTACAACCAACAAACCCAGTATAAAAAATGTAGAGCATCAAAACAAGAAGGGGCCTTAAAAGCCACCTTTTCATGCCTCTCATTTTGCAGATAAACGGAGGCTTGGGATAGAAGTCGTTTGCCCACAGTCACACAACAAAGCAGTTAAGACTGGAACTTAAATTTCACGTATCTTGTAAAAGGTTATGGGGTTTAAAGAAAATCCCTACTTCTTAAGTGAACAACTAGCATTTTCTTCAGGATTAGAAGTATGTGAATTCATTCAATATTACAATTTTCCCTGTATTGCTCATCACTAAAACACCTACATCTTTAAAAATGCAAGGACTTTAAACTGCTAGACTCTCTAGTTTGAGTCTTAATGAAACTATTAAAGTAATGAATAGAGCTAGGGTAGCAAAGTGACAAGTTAAGAGTTAAATGTGGTGAGAACCTGGCAGCTCCAGCAAGATGTATGTGGTAGGAGGGAGGCCCAGTCAGTGGCTGAGAGGTTAGTAATGTAAACTATATACAACTTGGTATTTGTAAGGGGGAAGTGCTTTGATAGAGATGCAAATGCTTTTGCACAGAGAGGGATTTTTGGAGAGCAGACTTTGGAACAGTAGAACTAAGAAAACATATAAAGCCATAGCAGAAATTCCCCCTATGTTTGCTTTCAGTTATTCTGAGAAGGAGTGTATGTAACAGCAGAGCACAGAAAAAAGTAACACACCCCAGAGCTGTTACACAGTAAGGTACAAAACAGCATTGAACCCATGGGAGTGGGATAAAACAGGAGCCAAGCTCTCCTTCTCTGCCCTCCTCTTCTTTGAAATTGAGGTTGAGTCATATTGTATCAGAAAGGATTTACCAGAAAAATCAGAACTGTCTAAGGCTGTTAGCATAGTAGAACTTTAGATTAGGGAAGTTTTCAACTTTGGTTTCAACATGGCAGATTTTGGGTTCCAGGGAGTAAATACATTTTCCTTTCATTAACAAACAGAATTTCTTGAATAGGTTTAGCTCTCTAGTCCCTAAGTTGGCGTAAGAAAAGAAATTTCTGTTTAGATTGAACAGAAAATTTCAGGGCTACAGGAAAACTGTTGAGAAAGCTCTGAGCACCTGGCCAGAGGGACTGAGATGGGAGTGGGTTTACAATGCATCATTCATTACTGCAGAGGCACTACGTGACAGAAATCACTAGATCCCACCAATGTGCAGCCAAGACTTGTAATCACCTTGGCTCCTATTTAATAATATGTGATATGCTTATTCTCTCTCTCATTTAATAGAATATGGAACTGACCAACAGCACAGTTTCTTGACTGGTTTTGCTCACAATGAATTGCCCTTTAGCAGGAGGATTTCTGAATCATAAACATGCATGCAGTCGTAGTTTTTCATCTAATCTATGTGCTGTAACAGTCTCTCTTGCCTCTTTGCTTCTCAGTCCCCCCTCCCCTTACCTTCCCCTATGGTATCTATTTGGGTTCTTCCTGTTAGCTGGATCAAATCAGCAAACATTTTATTGTCATTCAGTCCTGTTTTATTCTTCTAATTTTGCCCAGGTCCTCCTTCTGCCTATATTGCAGATTTTCCACAGTCCATTCTGATAAAAGATTTGGTAGGGCAGGAGTTCATTCTGGTAAGCCTCTTGTAAACAAGGCGATAGTACCTCATCATCCCAGACCAATGCCCAAAGTTTCTTTTAATTATCCAACCAGCAATGCAACTTTTCAGTCTTACAGCAATCTAATCAATATCCAGATACACCTTCTCAACTTAAGTACCATATACCCTTTTGCTGCCAAGACAGGATCCTCTTTGAACATGGTTCTGAGTCATTTCTATTATGACCTAGATTCCTCCAAGCTTAGCTTTTCAACCTTCTGGGCATGTCCCTGAGATACCTAGTGATATCTTTGGAATCCCAGAGGATTATCTTTTGTAACTTTGAGACCTTGTATGCCTTCCTTTGAGTTATTGATTCTTAGAATTTCCAATATGTTTTGAGTCTAATTTCCTTTGGGAAATCAATGAGTCTAAAATGCTTCCAGTGTGTCTGTTACTGTTCTTATAAAGGACACAAAGGACCCCATGCATTCTTTATCTAATCAATGTGCAATAAATCTACTATTTCTTATAAATTTGCCAAAAGACTCTTCCTGATGCAAAGTTTCCACATGCCATACTCTGCAAGTGAGCTGAACAATGTGTCTTTGTTTATTTTTTTTAAGATTTTACTTCTTTATTTGTCAGAGAGATTGAGCATAAACAGGGGGAGTGGCAGGCAGAGGAGAAGCAGGCTCCCCACTGAGCAAGGAGCCCCCATGGGGGGCTCTTGCGGGGCTCTCTGGGATCCTGACCTGAGCCAAAGGCAGACCCTTAACTAACTGAGCCACCCAGATGTCCCATGTCTTTGTTTATTTAGGTGTTCCAATGAAAACTACTTTTTCCTTTCCAATGCTGAGATTATGAATCTCAACTAAGTTCAGTAAAGGTAGATATAGAAGGTTTCAGGGGGCTGTGAGTCCAAGTAAATTAAAGAGACGTGGGGTGCCTGAGTGGCTTAGTTTTTAAGCGGCTGCCTTCAGCTCAGATCATGATCCCAGGGTCCTGGGATTGAACCCCACATATCAGGCTTCCTGCTCAGTGGGAAGCCTGCTTTTCCCTCTGCCCCTCCACCTGCTTGTGTTCCCTCTCTTGCTCTCTCTCTCTCTGTCAAATAAATAAATAAAATATTGTTTTTTAAAAAGAGACATAAATTTTGCTTTTGAATGCTGAAATGAAAAAGGGCATGTTCCTTAATTTACCCTCAAGGATTGAAGATATAGAAGGTGTAGATGAAGAGAAATTTTTGTCAAATTGTGTAGTTATAGAACTAAAGACCATAATGGGGCAGAGTCCTTCAAAATCACCTAGTTTACCCCTATAATTTTATAGATAGTAAAATTGAGGCCCAAACAAAGCAAGTGATTTGACAAAAGTTTCATAGATATTTGAGTGCTAGAATGTCCATAGTGTTTATTTGCATTCCCCTGTGCTGCATTAAATAACACCAAAACAACTAGCTAAAAAGTGAAATTATAGTCAGACTGGTTCTTTTCTGTGATGTGCCAGAAAAGTTATTTTTAACCAAATTAAATCTTCTTTTCAAAAACGAACAGATGTAAATTCAACTAAACAGGTTTACACGGGGATATAGCCTCAAAAGGCAATGAGGCCAGTCATATTATTAGCCACTGAGTCCTTTGTGAGCTGCACCCTTCTCTTTCCTGTTATTGAGCTCTGGGCACATTTCGGTGTCATGTTTGCTTGCTTATGGAAACCTAATCAAGCACTATCCTTTTTCACTTGTTCATTTCTATTACTCATTCAAGCTTTGCATTCCATACAGTAGTGTGAGTAATCGATCTATTTTGAGGAGGCCTGAAATATGATGGATTTCAAATATATGCTTTATTCATGCTAGTGTTTCCTAGGTCCTAATGCCTCCAGGATGACTCTTGGATTTGTGCTTAGGTTTTCTTGTGTATACCTTTTTGGCCGGTCAGTCTTCCAGGTGTGGTACAGTGATCTACTGTTTGTACCATATTTTCCTCATAGTCACCATTATCAGTTTTAAGCTCCATTAAATCCTTCAGGGAATGACCGCCCAACTCTTCCTGATTGTGATACCGTGGAGACACAAGTAGGTGCTTTCTAGATATTCAACTTGTTTTAAATAGGCACTGTTAGGGGCGCCTGAGTGGCTCAGTGGGTTAAAGCCTCTGCCTTCAGCTCAGGTCATGATCCCAGGGTCCTGGGATGGGGCCCCGCATAGCATCTCGCATCAGGCTCTCTGCTCTGCAGGGAGCCTGCTTCCCCCTCTCTTTCTGCTTTCCTCTGTGCCTGCTTGTGATCGCTGTCAAATAAATAAAATCTTTAAAATAAATAAATAAATAAATAAATAAATAGGTACTGTTACAGGTGACATTTCAAATAATTCAGGGATCATCTTACATTGTTCTCCCATCCCTAGTGTTTGATTCTGGAGCTGTACTACCGCTTAGAAAGAGTTATCTCCTCAAGGAGTTAAAGCAGACTAAAGGTGAGGAGAATTGCAGGGTGATTAGTCTTGGCTTCCATACACCGTGGGGTGGTTTTTTCCTGTTATTCTACAAATAGCCTGATTTTCACTCTCGGTTTCTCTGCCATATCACTGCCGTTACTGCATCCTGCCTGCTTGTAGTCTCCGAATCAAGCAATTTCTTTCTCATCTGTTTATTATGCTTATCAGAAATTTTACTGAAAGGAGAATATGTATACCTAGATCCCATCAATCAAAAACATATATATGTACATGTGTATACATGTCTCATACATATACACATGCAACTTCTCATGGAAGACTTTTGAGGATTTTTCTTTTTGTTTTACATTAGCATTACTACAGGATGTAGCCTTTGCATTTGAAATTAGCTTCCAGTTTTATTAGAATTCAGAGGCTCAGGGCCTAGATTTCTCCATTAGCACACATCTGCATGGTCTAGCTGCTCCTGTGACCCTGGTCGTGTGACGAAATACAAAAGGAATCAATGATGTGAGCTTTGCTCCCAGAGAGCTTTATAGTCTGGATGCATTGAGCAGATTTGCCTGTACAGAAGTCGGTGAGGTCAACTACAGAACAGAGGTGTAACCCTAACCCTAACCCTAAAGTGATTGAAGGTCGTGGTAGAGTTAGGGCCTGAGCTTTGGTAGTTCCCTGCAAAGTGGTCCTCCTGTGTGTTCTCATGTATTGTGTCTGTCTCCTCTCCCCTAGGATTTTCTGATGTGCCCTAAGGTCCATATAACTAGAAGGGCTATTTATCACCACAAGTGCCACCCTGACCCCAAACCACTCAGAAGTCAAGAATCAAAGGAAAATGGATGCCGCCATGACAGACGACTTCCAGCAGATCCTCCCGATTGAGCAGCTGCGCTCTACTCACGCTAGCAATGATTACGTGGAGCGGCCCCCGGCCCCCCGTAAGCAGGCCCTCTCCAGCCCCTCCCTTGCAGTGCACACTCACAAGTCCGACTGGTCCCTGGCCACCATGCCTCCTGCTCTTCCCCGCAGCCTCAGCCAGTGCCACCAACCGCAGCCCTTGCCTCAGCATCTGAGCCAATCCAGCATCGCCAGCTCCATGTCCCAGAGCACCACTGCCTCCGACCAAAGGCTCTTGGCCAGCATCACGCCCTCGCCTTCGGGCCAGTCCATCATCCGAACCCAGCCCGGAGCGGGGGCCCACCCAAAGGTCGACGGTGCTCTGAAGGGAGAAGCTGAGCACCCCACAGGGCACTCCGGGGAGCACCTCTTCATTTGCGAGGAGTGCGGGCGCTGCAAATGTGTCCTCTGCACAGCGGCTCGTCCTCTCCCCTCCTGCTGGCTGTGCAACCAGCGTTGCCTTTGCTCTGCCGAGAGCCTCCTCGACTACGGCACTTGTCTCTGCTGCGTTAAGGGCCTCTTCTACCACTGCTCCACCGACGACGAAGACAACTGCGCCGACGAGCCCTGCTCCTGCGGGCCCAGCTCGTGCTTTGTCCGCTGGGCAGCCATGAGCCTCATCTCCCTCTTCCTCCCTTGCCTGTGCTGCTACCTGCCTACCCGTGGATGCCTCCGTCTGTGCCAGCAGGGCTACGACAGCCTCCGGCGACCAGGCTGCCGCTGTAAGAGGCACACCAACACTGTGTGCAGAAAAATCTCTTCTGGTAGTGCACCATTCCCCAAGGCCCAGGAGAAGTCCGTATGACCTTCCTACAACACGGAGCCAGAGCTTTCTCCTTCTCGCACCCGTTAGGAAAGTGCAGGCCTCATCTCTGGAGAGGGGGAGAAGGAGTAAAGCAGCCAAAGTTAGGGCCTCACCAGTTTTGCTCCCGCAGTGTCAGGGAATGGCCGAGTACATCCTGGCGCAGGATGCCTTGTTCTTTCTCACAGTATCTATCCCACTTCTCTTCAACCTTCTTACACCTGGCCATTTTAGCCATGTGGCTGTCCTGGCAAATTCAGGTGATACACAGGCATGAGATTCGGACACGGAGGACTGACAGAGCCACCAACGTGGAGGGTTAGGGGCTCCCCAACATAATGCCTCTTGATGCAGGCTCTGAGCATCCCTCCACTGTCCACAGTGCCTTTGGAAACTTTCTTCTAAGATGGTTTTCCGGGCTGCATGTGGAACAGTGTTCGATATTCCAGGGAATCCGACCCCTTCTCCCTGTTTACTGCCCTTCCCTTCTTCCGTCTTCTCCCTCTTACCTCTTGTTCTTTGTTCCTTCCCCCTTCATTCCAGCCTGATTCTTAGTTTTCATTCCATTTCTTTCTCCCTCCCTTCCTTCTATTCCTTTCCTCTCTCTCTTTCAGACTGACCCATTCTCCGTCTTGTTTGATCTATCTTTGTCTCTCTCTACCTGTCCTTTCTCAACTACGTCCAAAAGTGCTGTTTTTCCATAGGTGTTTCCTTTGACGCCAAACTTTGCTATGCTATACTATTTACTAAATTTTATTAAGGGAAATGGATTACTGTAATGAACTGATCACTAGCAATAGTCTATATCCTGACATGTGTGTGTGTGCACTCATAACCACACTCACTTGTTTGTGAACACACGAGGCAAAAATTAATCTTACATTTCCTGGTTTAATGAGCTGGAGTTTTACTCCTTTTCCCAATAATCAACTTATAGTACTGACAGATTCCACTAGCATGCAGAGTAGGATAGTAAATCAGGATGCTCATAACTTTGTATGTCTGACCCAAGTGCCAAAGGCAGACGTGCTTTATAGCTAAATGAACAAAGCAAGGGATATTACAGAGGTCTGTTCTCTCTTAGAAGCTAACTGCCCTGAGACTGCATGGCTCAGGCCTTAATTATGGACATAAAAAGTCATAAAACTTTAGAGCTGGAAGGAATCTTAACTGTTAATCTAGTTCAATGCCCTTATTTTGCAGATGGGAAAACTGAGGCCTGGAGATAGGAAGGGATTTTTCCCAAGGCCACACACTGAGTTCATAGCAGGGTGAGACTGGAAAAAAAGTCTTCTGACTTCTAGTTCAATATTCTGTACTCTACATCACATTAGGTCATGGGACTTTTCTCTTAGGACTCTATTAACAGTGACAGAAAGCCATTGTCATTCAATTTTTCTGGAACCATGCCAAGTTAGTGTGGTGGTCTTTATGCAGTGCATGGTGGGTAGCTAATTAACTATCAGGTGTTGAGGCTGCCCCCAGTGGACATCACCTTTGACTCTGTCACCTGTAGAAGCTCCAGTGTGGAAAACAAAACAAAAACAAAAACAAGGAATCCCTAACCAAGCTATATCTTCGCCTACTTTTTGCTGCACATGTCGTGCTCGCTCCTGGCTTTGTCTGCGATGGCAATTGCCTGAGGACCTAAATTTCAGCAGCTGGAAAACTGAGATGAATGACATATAAAGCAGAGAACTGACTTCTCTTCTTTTAAAAATATACCAAGAGCCTGTGTTGTGAATCTACTTCAATGGGAAAAGGCTGCACTGGGGATGGCAGGCACCTAAAGACACAAGCATTAGATCCAGTTTCCCTCTGTAAGTGAATCCAAAATTCACTAAGGAATTCAGAGATTGAGGGCACTTGCTTGAAATCAAGGTGCTCCAACTTAGTTTAAGACTTCCAGACTCTAACTTTATAGATCATCTCTTTTAAAGTGTGCATGGATGTGTACTGCAGAGCGGCGAGTTGGGAGAAATGTATAGTCATACACGGGGGGAAGAAGGGAACATCCACATCCCTTTGTTGGCTATATGCTATAGAAATATGTGCCACTCACTTTGTGTTGGTTCTGAATCTTCCTGAAGTGTACTGACACAGCCCCATGCTTTCACTTTCGCCTCCTCTTCTAGAATTGCTTTGCTCTATTTTTGTATATATAAATATGTTATGATGATTATTAATAATGTTAATGATATTGCTGCAAATGGTGCCATATATAAGGTTTGGCTTCTTGGAACATTATAAACCCAAACCAATACCTGTAACCTCTTAAGTTGCTTTCAGATCCTTCCATTTTAAGTAACTTTTTAAAATCTTAACGAGTCTGCCTGATTGAACTTTGACTTATCTATTCCTAAAAGCTGTGCCCAGTTCTCTGGCTGGATCCAGCTGGATGGTGATGAGTAGCAACATACCCTTCTCCCCGCTTATGCCTGAAATTTGCTTAGAGCTGAGATATATAAGGGTTCTATGACACTAGTGCATTGTTCCTGGAGCTAAAGTTATTCTATGGATGTTTGCTTATTAGTTTCAGGGCCCAAAACAACAAAAGTCCCTCCTCCTTCATAGCTCCTTGATATCCCAATCCTGCAGTCCTTACTCAGGCAAATTGTGCACTGCCAGAGGGGCCCTGGGCTCTGCCATACACCCAGAAGAGCTCTTCTCAGTGTATTTCTAAATGGCCTTACACTTGGTAGAAGAAACTGAAGGGTTACTCAAATGCAATTGCAATGTGCAATCTGCTGCTGAGTCAGGGCTTTGCCTTGTGTCCAAGTTGGCCTGATACGGGCTGCATCTGGTTTACGTATAGATGGGTCCTTTTGGGGTATGTCTACAGAAGTGTGAGTGTGCATATGTACCCTTCTGTGAAATTTTATATATATATATGTATACACATATATGTATGTGTGTGTATATATATATATGTGTGTGTGTGTGTGTGTGTGTGTATATATTCACACATCTCTATATATTTTAATGTATTGCACATGTATATTTAAAATATATATAAAAGAAGTCTAAATCCTGAAGAAAGTGTCTGTTTTCATTATTTTTCTACCTTGTGTCATGTACTATATAAGCAGGAATATTTAGAGGATGTTTCCTGCTTAGCATTTTTTTGCAGTTAAGTCATCTGTTACCCCCTAATTCTACTACTTTCCACATATTTGTTCCTTGATATATTTATTTCACATGGCTTAGTCAAGAGTTTTCCTTTGATTCCAGCCCATCTTCCCTCATCACGATGGGTATAATAAATATAGTGAACATTTCTATAGTGCTTACTCTGTGCTAAGCATTATTATAAACGCATTGCCTATATGAGCTCATTTCAATCTCACACTAACTTTAAGATGTAGGTATAATTACAACTGCCATGTTACATATGAGAAAACTGAAGCACAGGGAGGTTAATTGACTTGCCAACAGTAACAAAGCTTGTCAGTGAAGGAGCTAATATTTGAACCTAGACTGTCTGAGTCCAAAGTCCAGGCTCCAAAGTTAGCTATAGAAGTCTGGAACATAAAGTACACCCTTCTGGTATAAAACAAGCCTCAAACAGTGAATAGTCCTTTACCCAACACCAGTTCCTCTGCAGCCTAAGAGTTGAGAAAAATGGGCTCCCATGTTAGCAGTGAAGCAATAGTTAACAGATATCGTATATTAGCTGTCTTGTCTCCCAAGATGGCGGCATTAGAAACTTCTCCACTACTCCCCTCGAAAACATGTTTGCAGCCAGTTGCCACTTCTCAGACAGTTTACAGTGCCGAGCTACTAGAGAAATATTTTCACTTGTGCAGGAGAAGGTAAGAGTTTTTAAGAGTGTGACATTTTCTTTATAGGGCCAGGAAAACTATTTGATTTGTTTCTGCAGAAAGTAGAACTAAAACTATTTTTAGAATTTGAGATTAGTTGGAACTGTTAACATTTAAATTCATTGATTATACTGAGTGCATTCTTCTGATTCAAATGTAAGCAATCCACTAATGACCATTGTTCAGTATAATTTCAGCCACTAATTATGATGATATCACATAGACACGTTTTAAGTGCTACACTATCATTTATTCTTATAAACAATAGTTCCCTGTGCCCTATAGACCATTCTTACATGAAGTCAAAGCATCTAGTTAATAAAAACATCCCATTGGTGTGGTTTCATATCTATGGACAATGTCATAAAAGCATTGAATGCATTCCACTGATTTAATTTTTGCTTTTTTTCCATGTAAGAAAGGATAAGCATAGGAAAATTCTGAAGAAGTCTTCCGGGTACATAATGGAATCATGCTATCTCTACAAACAATACAGCAAAACTCTACTTTACCTGAGTTACTAGCACCATTTGACAGAGTTGCTCATTTTATCACCTGGCTTCCAGGATACCACATTCCTCTGGTTTTCCTCCTACTTCACTCTCTGCTTCTCCTCTGTATTCTCTGCTGGACTCCCTCACTTTTTTCACTTCTTCATATTCAAGTAACCCAGCGATTGGTCTTTGAAATGTGCTCTTTGGGTACCATTTACATGATGACTTTCAAAATTCTATCTCCAGCCTGGACTACTTTCTTGAACTCCCCACTCATATCCAACTGCCTATTTCACATCTCTACTCTGATATCTGGTAGGAATTTCAAACATAACATGTTCAAATGAAGCTCTTAATCTTTCTCTCCTCAAACCTGACTTTTGCAGCATTTCTTATCTTTTTAAATGCCAATTCCAAACTTACAGTTGCTCAGATAAAAAAAAAAAAACTTTGTATTTATCCACTAGGCATTTTATTAGTTAAAAATGTAGCTAAAATTCTCAACCTCTAAATCCTCAATTAGCCTTTTACTCTGATGATTTAGCATGTGGTCATTAGTACCCTTTTGAACCTCTGGCCTAAGGTTTGATAAAACTAAAATCCTTTGTCCCTTTATCCTAATCTAGGCCCACATCCTTATCTTGACCCTCAAATTGATCAACACTCTACCAGTGTTGCTGCTTTCAAAGGCCAGAATGACAAGACACATGGCCCTCAAGGAAAAGCATCTTGGGAATGACACCGCTCATTGTTTAGAGATCTTGATATCATCACAATCAAAGTTATGTATGTTGCTCCCAAATGCATTTACTGGCCAGTCTCCTAGAAAAGTAGTAATCTTGACCCACAAGTTGTCATTCTCCAACTATTCAGGCAATTCTTTTGACTATACCATATAATTGTCATGTCTCTGATGGTAAAAGCCAAAGATGATAAGGACCTGGAAGCCCCCAAGTCCTTTAGGAACTAACAAACACCACTGATGCAGGTTACTAAGGAAAGAAAACAGAGACAGTCACTTGGGCAAACACCCTAGGTTTATTAATATAGGGTTTTAACCTCAAGTCACCTGTATGTTTTCCTACTGTGACAAGATGAGATGAACTATACAAGCATTCTGAAGGTTCATTTTGAACATATGTTCTAATGCTTAAACTAAAGGGACACTGAATGACTCAATTGGCCCTCTTCTCTTAGGTCCACACTTTAATCTTACCTTCAA